TCCCTTACAAGAGACTTGGAAAATCAAGTTAATGGCGAAAATTGCACTTAAAAATCAAAAAAGCAATCCAACAACACCTTCTTTCTCTCCCAGCATCCTCCCAAATCAACCCCAAAATAACCAAAAGGTAAAAAATTAAATCTTTATGAGGTGATAACGAAACACGTGGTGCATGGTCATGGAAACTTTTTGAACTTCAGGTAGTTTTCTCTTTACTGTTACTGTCATCTCACTTGTAGTATCAATTTCAGTTTTGCTTAAATAGGTAGGTGCTTTTTCACATAAGTTAAAGGAGCCCTGTAGTTTAGCAGTAGCTTGTGGATTACCATTTCAACAACTGCAAGCAACCACAGCTGTTGTAGCACCTACATTTTTTGGTGAGGTAGAGGAAAGTACCATTGTTAGTGTATTACCTAAATGCGGTGGCTTAGTCTGTTTGGCTTCTGTTTAAAATGTTAATTGCTCAGAATCCTCAAACTTAATGGATAACAACCTTAAGGTGCTATCCCTCATGTTTTGTGCTGTTAAACATTTTGCCCTTTCTGTGTATTACATAATGTATTTTCAAAAATGATGTACAGGCTGATAGTGGTAACTTGAATCTGGAAAGTATTCTGTACAGTGTTGGGAAGCATAACTCTTCATAATACCTTTTTTTACATATTTCACAATCTGCTGAGACTAAAAGAGAAGTGAAACAGTAACCAGAGAAAGGCTACTCAGGAAAAATGTGGGTTGCATTAAAATGTGTTTTGCTGGTTTTCCATCTCTGTGCCGACATATGTGAGATTTGTTTGGGGTCATTCATTGTGTATTTGAATAAATCCATAGAAATTTTAAAACAGCTTCAAAGGAGCTAATATGTATTGTCTACCCCAAGTTTTAAAATATACTATAACTGTAAACTTAAACACAAAAGTTGGCAGGTACTTTAAACTCTAGGTTTTCTTGCTTTCTTTTTCTAGAGCATTCTTTAGAGCTTCTTCAGACACCTTTGTCTTCCTTTCTGTCTGGAGATGACTGCAAGTTAAAGGCTATTTAACCAAACTAACTTAACCAAACTGAGCTACTTCTGTCATCCTGAACTAAACGTAACCCTGTGCTGCTTTTTAGATATTTGTTGTCTTCTCTAATGCTATACTGGAGCTTCAGTGCATAGTTGATATGTACTTTGGCTTTCTTTGCTTTGCAACCACTATGACTTACTAATAGTAGTTATACAATTGGTGATAGTAATTATACAATAGGTTTGTGTGGAATATTGAACAGTGACAGCTTTGAATGGCTTTTATTCTGTACATGTGTGCTCTTAATTCAGCTATATTCATTAATTGCAGGTGTAGCAATTATTACCAGAAGCTTTTAATTTCATTCTAATTGATTTTTATTTTTTTCAGGATGGTAATTCTGTAGTTACAAACAAACAAACAAACAAAAAGATAACATCCTGGTGTAGAAGCAAGATCTACTGATTTTTTTTTTTATGGACACAAGGAAAATTAAAGCATTAACTTTTATCCTAAGTCATTATCAAATTTCCATAAGGTTCTTTGAGGAAGTGAAAAGTTAAAAACCACTGCTTGATTAACCTTTTATGGATATAGGAAAAGCATTAAATCTTCAATTGCTCTTGGCTCATAAAGTATGGCATACAAAGGACATATGGGACAGTTCTATCTGTACTGTAGAAACAGCAGTTTGGCCTCTTACCAGAAGGGTCAGAAAGTAGTTGTACTCTTGTTTTTTGTTGACAGAAGTCTTATTTACTAATTGCACTTCAGTGCAAATTATTTAATGCTTAGCCACTATTAACTTTAAAGTAGCATGTTAGCCTTAATCCAGATTCAAGACAGTGTCATGTACCTGAAAATTTTTATCCTTATGAAGTTCCATATTTCATCTGTTCCTTCATTTCTGATGAAATTATCTCAGAAATGGATGTCTAGAGACACAAATAGTTACTGTTTTAGACACATAACTAAGGTGGAATTCAAGAATCTGAAGTTAGGAGGCACGATTTGCTCTATTATAGGTATTTTCTTAGTAAGATTCAGAATCATAAGGCAAATGCTTAAAATAATCAGGGTCTTCTCAAAAGCAGTCATACTGCAGGGTGGAGAGAAATATATCCTTTGGAAGTGGAAGGAAATAGTATCAAGACTGTTCCCATCATTCAACTGTCAGTATTTGTTCTCATTTTAATAGGTATGTGGCGTGGCTGTATTGACACTGTTCTGTGGATTGTAATTTGCATTGTATATAAAGCTTCTTGTCCAAGAAGATAAATCAGGGAGCAGAAGTTAACTCTTAGTCTGAGTAAGTCTGTCATTAGGTAGGTTCTCACTTAATATACTCTCATAGGACAGTAGTCATTCCAAGTTAAGGGACAGCAGCTAAGGAGATGCCTGTTTACAATATTGCTTACAGTGCATGGAAACTTGCGGAGTCTGTGGAAGCTGAGATCTTTTTCGCAATTTATGGCATAGAAACATTTTTGCAAGTTTATTTACATGACATAAAAGGCAGCAGTGTGTTCCTCAAGCACACATTAACCACTCCTATGCAATATCTTTTCAAATGGGCTTAAAATGTATCATATACTTCAAGGAGCTAACAGATCTTGAACAAATTGCGTAGGCTAGAACAAGACATCTTGGTATCTACTGCAAGTCCTTAGCAGGAAGAATGGACACTTCCAGATCCATTTGCTGTACTGTTACACTTTCTTGCTTCATGTTCCCTCAAGGACATCTTGTTCAACACAATTTTTAAATTGTAAATTAATAGGTAAGTATAATTATTCAGCTGTTAGTCTAGCTTTTTCTTTGCCTGTATCTTTCAAATCCATCTTACCTTTTCAATTTCACACAGGCCCTCCCAATTTTCATCAGCAAGATGCTTTTTGTTGCATAAAGCACACAGCACATACTTTCAGAGTTTTGTGCATAGTAACTAGGAAAAGGATTCAAGTCTAATATAGGCCAGAACAGCACAATCCTCCTGAATCTGATGAGCCTTCACAGAGTAAACTGTGAATCAACATATGCTATTCTGACTGTTAATGTGATGTTTTCCAAAACTGCAAGTGAAAGACCTCTCTTCTAATGCTGTGTTGGAGGATTCATAAAATAATTTCTCACTACATTGTTCGTTTGTTGTCAGAGCACTTGTCTGTAATTCTGTATCTGTTATTTAACAACAGATAGCTTAGGACTCACAATCATCACTCATCTCTATATCATACTGTACAAATGACAATCCTGTAGGTTGCTTCTGTGTTTGGATTTTTACTCTCCCATTTCTGAGGGCGTGCTTTTTTTGGCTTCTCGGGTTTCTTCCTCCACTCAAGTTTTACCATTGGTTCCTATGCTCTTGCCACCCACTCAGTTGACTGACCCTAGTCATAGTGCTAGGCTTACTGAGATTAAAAAATGGTATGCTTTTGATGGTAAACACTTCTTTAATTCCAGGCACTGATCACATCGGGAAATTGGCCAGATTGTTACTTTAAGAAAGAATATTAAATTCTGACTCTTGGAAACAAATGAAAGACTTCTAGGTCCTCTGTGATAACAAATATCAGTCTAAATTATACACTTGTGTGGCCACTGAGCAGAGCAGATCCCTCTACTTTTCGATCTGTGTGTGTGGTTTTAAGCTACAACTAATCTTTCTTTATCAGTCACACCTGTGTTTTTCCTGTTAAATATTTTATTTTGAAAGAAAAACATGCAATGTAACTTCCACTCTTTGACTTCAATTTAAAACCAAGCCTATTCATTTTTAACAGGAATGTGTTGCTCTTAAGCTAGTAAGTCAGTTTCTGGACGAATTAGTTACTTTATTGCTGTTTCATGTGCCATGTAGTTTCTGCATTTCAGAACCAATAGGTGCTTAGCATCTATATATACATATTCAAAGCGTATGAAATTACTTGAAATTAGAATAGTAGGCTGCTGAAAATATTTTATATTCTTTCCAACAGTATTCCACGAAGGCTTTCTTTATAAAAATCTTTCGTTAGAGAAAGGCAAAGAACACTTGACTTTTACAAATGTTAAGTGATAACACTTTTGGATCAGTCTCCACTATTAGAATGGAGAGAGAGTTAAACCACTAGTAGGAAATACTAACTAGCTATGTCTAAATTGAACTGTTTTTAGATCATTAAACCAACTTCATAGAAGAGAAATACTGGAAGAATTCAGAGCTGCAAAACATGGAAGCAGCTGGTGCTTTTCTCTTTAAACATAGTGCCACTACCTATCAAATAACTTTATTTTCAATTAGAACTTTACTGTTACTTTGTTAGTTTTTTTCCTTTCAAACCCAACACCAGAAAGTAAGTATTGGGGGGTGGTGTGGAAATCAGTCCTTGACATTTTTTTGTTCTTTTTCTTCTAGAATTAAGTGTGATCTTGTCATTTTAATCATTCTGTTATAGATTCGCATTTTGTGCTTCTTGTTTGTCTTTTGTGGAAACGTCAGAAGTTATTACCCTGTGTGTCAGCAGTGATCACTTTAGCTGGCAATTAAGCTGAATGGGGAATCTGAAACAGATGCTCCCTTCACTCACAGTAGCTTCACAGGTACTTGGCATCCAGATTTAGTAATTAACCTTTTTATGTCTTACATCTCTTAGAGTAAACTGGATATGAAGCTGAATATGCAATGCCATGGTAAGATAGCTTGCCTGAAAAGGCCATCTCTTTCAGTCACCTGTGGTGGGGAGAGCAGAAAAAAACAAACACAAAACAAACAAACAAAAACAACACCTAGAATGGCAATGCAAAGTGGAAAGCCGGTGTCAATGCAGTGTCACTGTATACTTTAATACCCTTTCTAACTCCTGAGGTGGTGTTTCCACCCATGAATGTTTTTGCATTTGAATGTTTTGCTCCAAGACCTGTTAAAACACAAGTGAGGGTGATGACTTGCATCTTGATTATAATATTTAAAGCATGAAATCTCTTTCAGGACATCTATCTGTTAGTTCTTCTTCCCACCAATGAAAGCATTGGATGGCTTCTATGTTATGACAGATTGCCTTAGAAACCCAGGTGGGAGAGTTTAGAACAGGTACTTAATATCTGTTTTTGTAAAAAGACACAGGTATTGCACATAATTAACTGCCTGGGGCTCTGATATGGAACAAGAATCCCACCTGGGACCCCAGTCCTGGTGAAAGAATGGGCTGCTACTGCTTTCAACTGAAAGTATCTGTTGTTAGTCTTTCTGCACATTTTGCTTCCCATTCCTTTCATTCCTTGATCTTCAAGGTTGTTCACAGCTTCATCTTCTCAATCACTTTTAGAAGCTTTTGCTTACTGTCTTCATCAGCAGTTTCATAAGGTTCCATGGAAAATTGGTTTAGAGATGAACGCAGGCTTTCAGGTAAGGCAGAAGCATAAATGCGTTGTTTATCTACGAGGAGAGAACAGAAAAAGACTGAGATGTTCTTCTGAATAGCCACTTGGTTGAACTGACCCACAGTGAACTCCTTGCTGATCTGCCTCTTTATCTTTTCCATGTAATAGACACGCCCCTCCATGCTGGCTTATAAAGAGTTGCTTCCAGAAAGACTGTTTGCTTCCTCCACTTCACTGCAAATAATTAAAGTATTTGTCCTCAAATGCAGGCCTTTTGGCAAGCGTAGTTGTTTTGATATGACAGCATTTTTTTTTTCTGTTAGAATTTATATTGTGTTAGCTGGCATTCAAATTTGTTTAATGGATTTTGGGTTTTGTAGAGCTTCTGAACTGTCCTAATAAATATATATATATATATTTTTAATGTGAAATGTTGTATACTTAAAAATGACTCTTTGACTTTTCCAGATGGGTAATGTGCTATTTTTTAATTGTTAAGTTTTATGTGACTAACTTTACATGCAGTACATACAGTTTCTGTTGTCCAGCCTTCTGGCTCTTCTATTTACGCTCCTTGGAAATAGTAACCAGTAGTTTCTTGCATGATTCTTTACTTCCTGTAACAATGAAAATGCTAGACGCTAGTTGAATTATTAACTCTTCATGGTCTTAAATCTGGAATCCTTCTGGCAAGGTGAGAAGACATTTACCCAGTGTGTAACAGACCTGAAGTCTCAGCTCTGCCTGTTTTAAAAGCAGGGACCTGGACTTCATCCCAGATACCAGTTCTTGCTGCTGGTTCTTCTTGCCTCATCTCTCCACAATTCTTTTAGCAAAGACCTCAGTTGTTGTGTTTACATATTCAGAATTCTGAAAATGCTTAATATCTTGTAAGACAGACTTCTAATTCCCTTTTTTTATTTTTTTCTTTTTTTTTTTTGTACTCATAGCTACATCTACTACTGCAGAGACAGGGAAACTGTCTCCTTGACTTCATTAGAAGGCTTTTGTACTTCTCTTTAATCCTCCTGTGTGGTATGTACTGCAGCACAGCATGCACAGTCTATTTCACTAAAAGGGAGAACTAGTAGTTCCATTGCTGGTTGATAATACCTAAGCAGTGAGTGTCCTATGGCAGAAAGTACTGCAGGTGGTTGTAGTGGTAGAAGCAGCTTGCCCCTTTGTTTCTTGGAGGCAGAGGGGTAGTTACAGAAGTAAGCATGCTAATCTAGTTAGGAAATTTTAAGCTAGCTAAAATTTAAACAATTCCAGGAAAGTTGGACAATGCTGTATCAGTGTATAACCACATGCTAGGATTATCCATGTGTACTAGGATGAATCCTGCTTAGATTTGTCAAAGGGAGAAACAATTCAGAAATGACTGTCACTTGCAGTCAGCATGGGTAAGATACAAAACTGGCAAAGCCATACAAAAATCATGTAGGGAGAGCAGTGTTGATTGTTTCACTGTTATTTCTAGTAATTTTCCTTTTGATTAGATAGCATTTTAGGCTTCTTGGTTTTCTTCAAGTTCTCTCTGCTGTCATGGAAACAGTTTAGAACTGACTTTTTGAAAGTCTGTTAAGAAGATTATGAACAAGACTTTTGATCGGTCTGATGTGACTTTAGATATTTCACTGGATTTAAATGAGGTTTGTCTTACACAACCAATAGCAGTACAGGAGGAAAAACTTTTTTCTATGGATATTTTCATTGCAGCAACTATCAGACTGTCAGATGTAGCTCAACTACACCTGTGACAGAAATGGTGTTGCTCTGCCACCTTATGGCAGAGCTGAAGCCAGAAGACACCAATTCCTACTTTAATTTCAATGGAGATTACTGTGTATGTATTAACGTGTGGAAGCTAGAACAATAAATAGGAGTGCAAATGCTTCTGAAAGGGGCTGTGTTTTAATTATAAATTAAAAAAAAAAAAGTATTTTCTCTTATTGTTCTTATTAACTTTTCACATCTCTACTAAATTACCTGCTCTTTGGGCTTGGACTGACCTTCCTTGTACTTCCTGTGTTACTGTGATAGTGTGAGATAAAAACAGAACTGTCTACTGGCTCTGTTAAAGATTTAGTCTCTGGCTTTTCTGCCTCTGTTTCCCTATTTAAATGTACAGACTGTAACTTCTGACATCTTTCACCAAGAAAAAAAAAAAAACAAAAAACAAAACACAAAACAAAAAACACAACACACCTACTGCACTCTCCCCCCAACAAAACAATAACAACAACAACAAAAAAAAACTATCATCCTGCTCTGATTTCAGTCTGAAAACTACCCCTAAAGTTTAAAAATCTGCCTTTCTGCACAAAAAGTTTTCTGGGCATGTTTCTTTTGCCTTTCTCTTCTTTTCATGCTGGACCTCTTAATCTAAACCAGTACCTGCAGGCTGTTACCCTGCTTTCTGCTTCTTCCTATGCTGACTACATTGCATACTGGGTCCTGAAAATAAGCTATTAAGCCACAGAGACCATGTATGGTCAAGACTGTGGTTATGTGCCACTTTTATACAATAGCGGAAGCTGTCTCATCAACTGCTCAGGAGCAAAAACAGGGATTACTTCAGGATGTCTTGCTCCTGGAATTTTGAGCTACTTTGACAAATCTTTCATCTCTAATACCATATCATTTGGACTTGGTTTTGCCTCTGCACTGGTAAAGCAGTGATACCCTCACTGAAATCAGCTGCACAATGATACTGAGTTTTAGACTTAGTATATTGGACTTAACGGCATCATAGAGTGTGGTCCTTTTATGTCCTTGTGTTGATGTGATGTGAAGTACAGACATCACACTGGCAGGATATCCACGCTAATGTGCTAGACATTTATATTTAGTATGTTTCTGAAAAAATATGAAAGAATTTATCTAATTGCTGTTTGACTGAGATGGAACAGTCACGTATTTTGAGCATATTTCTTAGCACTGTAGTGCTGTAACTCCTTTTCCCGAGTGTTAAAATCAGACACTAAAATGTGCATTCACTATGTTCTCTGAAAATCAAGTTATTTGTTGGCTTTATTTTGGATGATGTGTCTGTCATGCATCAATTTAATAAGAGATGTGCAATTTAATGAGAGATGTTCTCCTTCTAGGCCTCGCTCTGTTGTATGTGTGCAAAACTGCAGACTGAGACAGCTGGTGGGAATGGACGGCCTGTTTCTTCAGTGTCAATCATTTATCTCTTGTAGTTGAAATGCCTGCTGAGTGGGGACATGCCCCATGCCCTTTGTGCTCATAATAACTGTGGTACAAGGCCTCATGAGCTCAGGTTCATTGCGTTTCAGGCTTTGTTCTTCTGGATGAGAAAGGGTGCTAAGTATAAATTCTATGTGCCTGCAGAGGAGGAAAACAAACAAACAAAAAACAGTAAAAGCTAGTATGTTAGCTCAGCATATGGTAGTACAGTTGCATGGAACTAATGCTTTAGTGTTCCTACATTTGTTTTATGTTTACTGAGGAGCTTCCACTGTTCTTGGACTATGTATTTCATTAGTAAAATACATTTCTGAGAGGATGCTATATGTCTGAGAGCTAAGCAACTAGGGTACTTCTGACCAGCACTGATTTCCTTAGTACATATGGCAGTCTTTCCTTAGCTAAAAAAGTGTAGTATTGATCTTTTCTTATGAAGCATTTTGAGATACTCTGGCCAAATACTTAAGCTAAGCCAAATTTTGTTCCTTCTCTTTCTTCATTTGTCCTTTACCAATTAATCAGTCATGCTCTAGGTCTAAGGCTGGACTTTATCCAAGGAAAGCTTTGGCCTCTTTCTTAACGTGTCATGCTTTTTATAGTCTGCAGTGTTTTTGCATTTGTTGACATCATTCATCTTGATTGGTTTTGATCTTGTTTCCTCTGAAGGATAAAATCATCATCAGTTAGAAGGCTTAGTTACAGAGGGAAGAAGTATTTCATGGCATTATCCATTACAGATACAAGTAACTGAGCGTACATCTATAATACTCATATACTGCTGAGTTCTGAGAGCAGAAATAACAGAGCTACTGTGAAAAGTGGGAAAATGCTAGCAGGTGTTGTTTCTAATGGTTTTCAGTCACTTTTGGCTAGTATAGCAACTATTCCGCTTTGCGTTGCATAATGAAAAAGAGCTTAATGCATTTTCTTTTGAAGTTGCACTTTTTCTTTGCACAGGAAACTCAAATAGATTTTAATGTGTATCCAGAAGTTTGAAATGAAGACTAAATGTTCCAGGGAAATAAAGTTTTGGGTCACTTCTGAGGGCTTTTATTCTACCAAGTAGTCTTTTGAACATTCTTGCTATTGTGTGCTTTGTTTTGTGCCTTGACGGGTCAACTTAAGAATTTAGAAGGGTGTAGCAAGTTAAAGTAAAAACACTGTCAAAAGCCAACCTTTCTTGTTTTACTGCTCCCTCTGAGTCCTTGCCTTAGTTGATTAGAAGCAATAAAACATAACTGAATGTCTCTCTGTGAGGCAAGAACACTGGCCCTTTCACTTGTGCTCTAATGGGAGCACAGTGGTAATGGGGGAGGAAATGATGAACATGAAGTCTTAGAAAGTAGTCTGTATCTGAGGTAATTTGTTATATCAGGCTGACTAATGTTTGGGAGGATGAGGAGTGGGTGTAAGCTGTGCAGGGGTGGTAACAGCTATCCTGTTGAAGCTATGGAGATATAGGGTGACCGTGCCCTTTAACTTTTGTTATGCTGCATTAGGATGCTTTGTCCTTTCAGGGATCTTCATGCTCTAAGAAAAAGAACTTTTTAGTTCCCAGAGTGTGGTAGTTGAGAGTTAAATATCACAGAATGTTCATCTCCGATGTATTTGCTAACCAGATAGGAGGTCGTGGCAAAGCTTAGAACAGAACTGAAAACTCTTAAGTCTGGTTTCAGGACAATATCATGTCTAAAGTCCAATCTGGCTTCAGTTTCATGGTTGGTTTAGGTATTCTTAATCATGGAGGTTGCAATCAAAAGCAGAGGTTGCAATCAAAAAGAATGAACTGATCTGTTTAATGTATGTATTCATTTCTCCTCCTTTGTGTTGGCACAAGCATTCAATTTTTGAGTAACAGCTTTAATCAAGAAGCCAATCCAGCTATAAAATCAAACCCAGCTACATTAAAAAAAGAAGAATATTCAGCTCTCCTCACATCCTGACCGTAACTGGGGCTAGTGAAAGGGGAATAGTAGTAAGAGTGGCTTTTTTTAAGATTGGCACAGCTGTCTTTTTGGTAGCAGCCTGAACTTGGGTTGGTTTAAAGCAACTGAACCTACAAGCACAAAGGGAACATACTTATCACTTGTGAAGAATTTGCCTTGTGTGTTTTTAACAGTTTGTCCTTTGTAGAGTAGCAATCCATCATCAGCGCTGTTTTTGTTAGTAGATTCAGAATGGTCAGAACAGTCCTTGCCGAACACTTTTATCTCTGGCCATTTTTAATAAATATTTATTTGCTGAATTTTCAGTCAAAATCTGTCTTCCTAAAAATGTTCTAACTGAAAAAACATGGGTATAAATCTTTCTGGAAAATGAGTTGATAGCATTGTGAGTATTATTTAGCAAAATTTTAGTTTGTTGATCTTTTCAGCAATGTTTGCCAAGCTTAGCTATAATCATAAACCATAAAATAGCTGAACTAGGAGCTGCAGGATTGATGTGGGAATATTGAGGTGAAACTCTGTGGTTTGTAGTATGCAGGAGGTCAAACAAATTTATTGAATTATCTCTGCTGGTCTAAAAGTACACAAATCCCAGCCGTGTAAATCCCAGCTGAAGGTATAAAAATATGGCAGAGTAGCATGGTTATGCTCTGAGATGAAACATAATTTGTGGAGGCAGAGGAGAAAATATGTTTGTGAGTAGATGAATTATTGAATATTTTTGACTCTAGGAATGGATGATTTCAAGGAGGGAACTCCTCCAGCTTTTCAATACACTGCTCTCTGAAGTAAGATGAAGGTTTTGTCTGAAAAAAGTGAACAAAAAGTTAACCATTCATGTGTGCGGTTTGTTTTTATGCTCATTAAAAATGAAGTGACTGGTTTTTGTGCTGGTTACATGTGGTGTCTTTTATATGTATCTAAATTACTTTTACTTTTGGAAGATGTTAGGCAATAATGGAATTATGAAAGTTAAACTTGATTTGTTGTTACATCAGACTGAAGCATGATTTGAATCAAGTAATTGGAATTACAGTAGGCTAAAATTGCTGAAAAATGAGTTTGGAAAGTTGAAATACATTTATTTCCTATTAAACCTTAATTAAAATATTTGGTTCTGTTTTCAGTTAAGAACTACTGGATTCATAAGTGTAATACACAAATGATAACATTTATGAAGTTTAATATTTACTATTTAATATTTAAACCATATTTTCAAAATACAGAATTGTTCATTTTATCAAATAAGTTTTCCAGTTTTCAGGCAGTGACCTTGCAAACAGTTCAAATGATCGGTGACCCTTAAAAGCACAAGCCAGTGTTTTCAAAACAAAACAACAAATCTCTTATTTATAGCAATTGCTGATCAATTGCTGCTTATGTTACCGTCCTCATCCTCCATCCTTCACTCCTCATCTCTTCTCTTAAACTTCATGTTTTCACTGTTATTTTCCACCTTTCTTCTTAGATGGATGGAACAACACGAAACAACATGAAACAACTTTTCTAGTCAGGCTAGAATAATTTCTGAAATTTATGTATTTACATATTTCAGTCTGGTCGTATCAGTGGTCCACTGACCTTAACTGAACAGCAGCATTCATTCTCTCCTACCAGCCCCAACCACCCCCCAGACGAGAAGAACTGAGCAAACATGCTGGAAGGTTCTGATGATGAATGTTATCTATATTATTTTCATTCCTCCAGTCTTAAACTTATTTGTACTTTTTTTGTTTAATAACCTGATAGGAAGAAGTAGCTATATACGTTTCTACAGCATTAAGCATCCTATGGAGAATAAAATGTTTGTAAATCAAATGTACAGCAAAAGAAGAGACAGAACAGACAATGTTATTGATTCATGCTGTTATTCTGTGGCTAGGGACTGGATCTACCTGCTAAAATGGGGATCAAATCTAGATTTTAAGCACAAAGTAATTTTGGAAAACAGGTGATTTAGTGGCTTTGACTGGTCTTACTTTGAAGATACAGGATGCTAATGAGGTATGTAGCTAGCTCTGCACTGGGATTTGGAGCACGTGTGGATGGAGATGAAGTCTGAGATCTGATCTTTGCTGTTCTTTCAGGAACAATGCTGGTGGTGCTGCCTGCCAAAGCCACAAGTTTTAGGAGCATCAGCAGCTAGCCAGTGAGAAAAGTAGATAAAATCATTGGTGCCTTTGTCCGTGGACACAGTAACAGCTTCAGAAGGAGAAAGATAAATCAGTAGTGAATGAGGAAAACAAAGAATAGTTAGATGAGAAAGGCTGCACTCCTGTTTTGTCATCCCAGACGAAGGGCAGGTTGTACAGAACATGCCATTCTGTGCTTTGTCTTTCTGACCTTTTTGGCTGCTGCACAGTAAGTGTTGCCTCACTGTCATGAATTTGAAATGAGCTGATTGTTTCTCTGTTTGCCAGTGGGCTGGATGTTTCTATTTCTCATCAGTAATGTGACAGGTAATGTTTGCACAGTGTCACTTAAAAATGCTGAGATTGATTCTTCTTTTTTTTTTTTTTTTTTTTTTTTAATATCATCCTGTTGGATGGCATCATTCCAAGAGATGTCATTGTGGTGGTTAACCAGAGAGCTCAACGTTACACAGAGCTGATTTGGGGGATTGGGACTCTTGTTTTGTCACAAAGGAACTAATGATAGAAAGCAGCCTTCAAAGTTTTTGATTATAGCTCATCCTGTCTGTTTGGAATGATGTCGGTGATGCAGGTTTCAGAAGTTGCAGAATTAGGGATCACTGCGTAACCAGTAGAAAACCTGCAATCTTAAGAAGCTCTGTATATTGATAACAGAAGAAACAACAGTTTCCATAACAGGGTTTGTATTCAATTGCTTGTTATGAAATTGCACATTCAGGGTAAAATCTTCATCTGACTGGCAGAGGAGAAGAATAACGAAAACCTAGAACTGAATAAATACATAAACGATTGTTGGGATGTTTATTGGTGCAGTATTTGGGGATAGGAGGTATTGTGAAATCTTTGGTCAAATAATAGAACACAGTAGACTGGGGCTGGGTATAAGATAGTTTTCTTTGGGAGACAGAGCAGAGTCAAAAAATGTAAGTCTTCTCCGTTCGGATGATAACTACAAAAAGAGAAGCTGTTTCATTACTGTTGTAAATTATGTTAAAAGCAGATATATCTTGCTTTTTCCTGTTGGCATCTTGAAAAAATAGTTTTTTTTAATAGGTTATGTCTATGAAACTGTTCAGAATTGAAATGCATATTAGCATGCATATATTGTTCACCTTGTATCTCTCTGTCTTCAAAGTTTAATGCATCTCTCATGAAAAAATTATGTTTCTTGTGGGATAGTTTAAGGTGAAAATATTGAATCATTTTTTTCAAAGACAGGGAAAGCTGAGGATCTCAATCAGTTAAGCCGCGGGGGGGGGGTGGGGGAACAACAACTATCCTTTTCCCTGTCTTGTATAAATATTTATTTATTCCCAGGTATAAATATCCTTTTCCCTTTCTGGCATAAATGAAACTTATTGCTTCTGTCATCTAGAGTTAGTTCTGCTGATTTTCTCGATGTTTTTAATGTCTTTCTTGGTGCTTATATTTTTCATATGGATTTAAGATTGTTTGGATAATATTTTGATTGTAATTACCACTTCATTCAGTCATTTCTAATGCAGTACCTTCTAAAAATGATGAGACAAAAGTTTTAAGTGGTGAATTCACAGGGTAATTTAACCTACGGTTTCTGTTTTGTGAAATTTCTTAATTTAGCTGCTGTGTTCTTTATCTAGGATTCAAATATCCTTCTAAGAGACTCACACTTAAATTATTTTTAAAAATGGAGCTTAGCCATTGAAGTGACTGGTGCTGCTGACTGCAAAAAAGCTGAAATTATTTTTAAAAAGCTGAGCCCTGTCTTCCTTAATTGCTTTTAAAAATGGGTTGACAACACCAGTCCTTTGGAAGAATGATGCTTTGACGCAGGGAGCTATCTTTGTTGACAGTATGCTGTGTTGTATGTGACAAAGTGATAATCTCTTGGTATGTTTCTGAGGTCTTTGAAACTGGCTAAATATAAAATATACAGGAAATAAAAAGTATTGCCTGTTCAAGAGACGTAGAAATTGTCAGTGCAAATAGCAACTGATATTTTATTCAGGTGTGTTCTATGTGCAAATTAGCCTGGGTAAGTGTTGATAGAAGAGTGTGCAATGGTAACTTCTGGTTCTGTCATTTTGCTTGGAAAAAAAAAAAAAAAGTTCTGGGGGGATTTCAGCTACTATTTTACAGCAAATGCCAGTATTGAATTATAAAAGAATCATGCTCTGGTAAATTTGGAAAACATATTTGTACAGTTAAGTGCTCTATGTCTGGATTAATGAGTAACTTCTACTTCAATTAGTTGTTCTCCTGCGGTGTAATAGTTGGGCTTCTTTTTCTCTATAAAAACTCTCCTTGTTTTCATTTCATCACTTAGCACCCCAAGATGCACATTCCCCCTGGTAAGCTGCCATTACTCCTGATGGGGATAGTTTGTATTACAGAATTTCATGCTGTACCATTCGTTCTTCAGAAAGGTAGGATCAAAATTTCACACCTAACTTTAAGAGTTTTCTAAATACTAAAACTTTTGTTCATACCCAGTGAAAAGCAAAGAAGTTTTTATTCTTATGCAGCTTTTGTCAGATTCCTTAATGATTCAGTATGAATAAAATTAAATAAATGTGATTTTTTATAACTAAGTAAATAAAATTAAGTACTCTCAAAGTAGCAGCAAGTTAATGAAGGTCCTGGTTTAGCATGTTACCCTTGAGCTGCAAACAAAATACAGTGAGTCTTCTCTTACATTCTTGTATCTTACAATCCGGAGCACACTTCTTTTTGGCACAATTAATGATTGTAATTGTTCCATTTCCTTCATTAAGATTTACTAATTTGTGTAATTGTACACAAATGTACATTAGTGTACAATTGTACATTTGTGTACAAAACGTACACATTGTACATTAGTGCCTCTGTGCCAGGCCATGCCTTCCAATTTCAATCTGCTAAAAAGCAGAAAAACATTAACCTAAAATAAATCATTCCTTCTTTTTCCCCTTCTATTTCTCAGATCCTAAGTGTGGGCAGAAAGTTCATGAGACAAATCCATGGAGTTACCTTAACCTTTTCACTCGGATTGTTGGGGGAAGCCAGGTGAAACAAGGCTCACATCCGTGGCAGGTTTGCACAAGCATATGTCGTTTTATCTTCAGAACAAAGTCCTTTCTTTCTTCATATTCACAGAAATGACAAAAGAAGACTGGTATACTTTGTGCTTACTGACACTTAATGACATATTGTTGAGCTCCACCTTGCATTTATGAAAAGCGGTGAAGCAGGCTGAGAGGACATGAATCTGTCCTGCTCTCTAAGAAACCTTTGCGTATTGTTTATCATTAATCTAAAGATACTCTTTCAGAATTAGTCTATGTAAAGATGCATGGGTGAAACTGCTTAGAAATAGGATTACCCCAACACCCATAAACATTGTCAGGCATCATGGATTTGCATTTTGGAAGATAGGGTACCTCATGATGCTTGTGGTGATTTAAGCTTACAAACTGAATAAAGGTTATGGAATAGATGTCAAGGGCTCTGCGGTGCTCCCAGTGACCTACAAAGGAAAAATTCTTGACTAGCCAGTAGCCTTTACAGCATGCTGAATAAGTCCGTGAATTGGCATTTTTTATATGTAAGATGCTTTTATCTAGGTATCAAGTCATAGACAATGAAAACAGCAAGGTTTAACATCTCTTAATCTCAAGGAAAGTAGGAATACTGTGAATTCATCTTTGCTTGAAGTGCAGCATGTACCTTAGCTATCTGAATCTGCAAAGTCTTCTTTATGTGATACAGGTTTCCTTGAAACGAAGGCAGAAGCATTTCTGTGGAGGCACCATTGTTTCTGCTCAGTGGGTGGTCACAGCAGCTCACTGTATCTTAGAAAGGTATGGATGTGATATTTCAGGAGCATTTTGCAGGTGCAGAAAAATATTGTGTGTGCCGTAGCATTTTTCTTTGGAGATTACTTCCAAGTACTGCTCTTCCACCAATATTTTCCATCTTTTAACAAGAAGGGAGAGGGAAAAAAAAAAAAAAAAAAAGACAAACAAAACCTTTGAACGTTTCAAAAACTAAGAATAAAATAGCCATACAAAGTGAGATGAAGACTGACTTTCAAGTAGGTAAAGAGTAGGTAAAAATCTATTATGGATGTAACCTAATTATAATTATCAGGTGATTGCAATATTTTTTTTCCAGAGGTAGTATCTAGCACCAGAGGTGCAATTAAATGGTGAATAGACACAGTACTTACTTATTGCATGCTGATGACATTAATGACATTCAGCCTTAGTTGAAAAACAAAAACAAAACACAAGGTTTCAGTCCTGATTCTGTTGTGGCTTCAAAGAGATTTTGAGATTCTACATTCTAATTCCCTGGCAGTTAATACTGAATCTTTATACTAATGGATCACTTAGAATTTTACATTTGATTTGAAATAGTGTGTGACCACATCTTGGTTAAATTAGCTATAACTAACTACAGAAGAACTGGCAGTACCTGAATCAGCATAAAGCCTCCTGACACAAAAGTAATACATCAAGTTGGTGAATAAATCTGAAGCAGAATAGCAAGTTCATCATTATTGGTTTTTTTTGTTTGTTTGTTTTTGTTTCCTTGCTGTACATTTTGATTCAGTACTAGGAACCCCAAAGCAGGATTCACTATGTTTGAAGGCATAAACAGGGAATGCTAAAGAAGTGTTTTTTTTTTTTTTTTTTTTTTGTACTTCCCTATACTCAAATTTTCCATTCTCTGAAAATTCAGTATGATCAAACATTTTTAAACAGAAGAATAGGAGCTGGTTCTATAGCGAACCACTTAAGCACAGTCAGGGGTGTAGCAAAACGTATTTCTCTCGGTCCTTTTATTTCTCAATTTCTACTGTTGGGCATGCATATTGACTGTAGATGTCCATGTAAATGCTTTAAAATTTGAAGATGAAAGGTATTAAGTATCAGTAGTAATAACTTCTCTGTTTGTAAACAACTACATTTTTACTTTCATTTTGAATATTCTATAGTTGAATTTTTATTTTACTCTTCTGCAGGAACATACTCGAGTATTTGAATGTCACTGCAGGAGAGTATGATTTGAGGATCAGGGAGAATGGAGAGCAGACACTCCCTGTTAAATATGTCATTAAGCACCCAAACTTTGACCCCAGAAGGCCGATGAACTACGACGTTGCCCTTCTGAAGCTAGATGGAGTCTTCAAATTCAGTAAGACCATAGTTAAATATGGGAAATGTGAAGATGGAAAAGCAAGGATAAATTGTCAAATACCTAATTAACATTTCAGACACCACAAAAATAATTAGAGAACTAGACAAAAAATAAAGTATTTTTTTGTTAATGCTTTTTCAAATATTTATCAAGAAACTTCATGTCCATGTGTGGCAGGTTCATCAGTTTTGCCAGCATGTCTTCCTGATCCAGGTGAGAAGTTTGAAGCAGGATATATCTGTACTACTTGTGGCTGGGGACGTTTAAATGAGAGTAAGTCACTGGAATTGTTCTTAAACATTCTAGTTTTATTGACACTGGCTGTGTCAGTCTTTACTTCCTTTGTGCATCCTTCTCTTGCCAATGGGCAAGGACTTGTATAGCAACTTTGTATCTGTGTAGCAGGTAGTTATTTTCAGATGAGCAAACATTCTCTTACCATATTGTTTGGTTTCAGATATTTACTTGAAAATTATGTCTGTCCCAACATGCAGTGTTAGCTTATTTCTGAAGCTAAGAGCTTTGCATAGGCTATAGATAGCCCAGAAGAAATGATAAACTGGTCATAAGAACTGTAATCTCAAAATGGGATCTTTGCTAGCTTTTATGTCTACCTGTGAATTACCTCGATGGATCACTAGAGTACATGGACCCGTATTTCATGTTGGAGACACTTTGAAGTTTATTTAAGTAAAATTGCCTATGTATGCAAAACTGGATGTTTATCAAAATATGCTTGTAAACATAAAATGGCCCAGAGCAAGTTTCCAATTGTTTTTGTTTGTGTATTAGCAGTGACATTAAGTTCATCTCTCAACACTTCTTATGAACAGGTTTTTTGTGTTTCAGACGGAGTACTCCCTCAAGTTTTATATGAAGTCAATCTACCAATTCTGAATAGGAAGGAATGTTCAAGAGCATTGTCATCTTTAAAGAAGCCCATCCAAGGTGACACTATAATGTGTGCTGGATTTCCAGATGGAGGAAAAGATGCCTGTCAGGTCAGCTGAACAGAGGGCATTGTCTACTTACAAGTATTCCTCTGATGCTCAAGGCTCTGTGCACATAAATGAATAAATACACTGCACATAGTGATATTTGGAGTGTATTTCTTTTGATGTGTGAATTCTTGGAAAAGTTCTGTATGGAGGAATGCTATTAATTGCATGATTCTATTTTAATTATTGTGTGAATTGCATGATAAGTGTCTGACAGCATTTTCACAGTGTATCCCACTGCAGTAATGCATAGAGCTTTCTAACTTTAGAAAACTTGATACACATTGATTAGTGAATGCAGCTAACATAGTATTGAGGAAGTTAGAAAGTTTTGCCTTGGAAGAAAGTGAGATAAGATTGATTGTTGCTTATCATGTAAAATTAAAAAAAAAAAAAAGTTCTTCACTCCCTTTTTCATGCTGAAGCACAGCAGATGTGCGCTTCAGAGTGAATTAATCTCTCCCCATCTTCAAAATCCTGCCTACTATGTCTTTTTTTTCTTTTTTTGCTTTTTTTTTTTTTTGAAACTACTATTTTGTTTTGTGGCAAGTTTATTAGTATGATTAAAAAAAGGCAACTCAAATTCTTAGAGGTTTGCTCAGTGGTTGGTATGCATGCACTTTAAGCTGTGGGTTCTGGGGGTTCTTACAGGGAGACTCAGGGGGCCCTCTTTTGTGCCAACGTAAGCATGGTGTGTGGATTCTCGCTGGTGTGGTCTCCTGGGGGATGGGATGTGCTCGTGGCTGGATAGGTAATGAGAAGAAGAAATATTATGAAAGAGGATCACCAGGAATATTCACAGACCTCAGTGCAGTACTTTCGTGGATTCAAGAAAATATGAGTGCTGGTATTAAGTCTCCACAGTAATTTCTCTTTGTGAAAACTTTTCTGTCTCATAACAACATTTCATTTATCTTTTTCAAGATACAGTACTAATATTATCCCATTATTCCTGTCAAAGTATTATAGCTTTTCACAATGCCTTTAAGTAGATGGTACTGATTGGTAATTGCCAAAACCAAACTGAGATTATTGTAAACAATTGTTTCTCTTCCACTTTGTCTTCTACCTGGATGATATATATATTTATTTATTTAGTATTACTTATTCATATATTACCTTTAAGGAGGATCCTTTTATCCAGCTAGCCAGTTAGCCTGGTATTTTTGGTTTTAAGTGGAAATTTAACCAGTTGAAAGTCTCTGAAATTCCATATGCACCTCTTTGAAGTTGCTTATCATTTTTCTCAGCTAAAATGTGTTTATTGGGCATTTGACTGGATGGGGAAAAGTCATGGTCTCAGAAGCATTTCTGCTTACTCTGCCCAAAAGGCTACATGTCCTCTGTACAACGGAGCAGCATGAAAATTATCAACCACTTCCAAAGTCATGCAGATAGAGATATAAATAACATCATGTCTAGGTGTTAATGTCACTCAGAGCATTAAGACTCTGAATTAATATTTTCTCCCAGTTTGAGCTATGTTCTTTAAAAGATGTTTGTAATAAAATGTATGTGGAGAATTGGAAAACTGAGGAGGTGTGTTTGAGAGGTTTTGTTAGTCAATGCTTTAAAAAAAATGATGAGGAAAAAAAAAAAATGTCCTAGCTTCACTTGCCACTCTTTTACACTGTTGCACTGGCACAAAGAATCTGCAGTGTAACTGCTGTCAGGCTCAATGTCTCTGTGTCCCTGATGTGGTGGAAGCAGTTGGATTCTGCTTCCCTGAAATGTATCATATCTACTCAAAACAGAGAGAGAGTGCTGCTCAGATTGAGCAGTGGCCTATCAATGTGTGGTTAATTCTAGAAGTGGTTGCTCTAGAATTGTTTATTCTGAAATTAGCATTGCATGAACTTACAATTTTGTTTTAGTTCCAAGCCTAATTTACTGTAGGTGCTATGTCCCCAGGAAGCATTCAAATTTGTGTCAGTGCTAGCTGTATAAACTTACTATTTCACACTGTTAAAATTAGAATGTATGTTGTGAATACAAAACTACAGTAATATATTCTTCTTTTTTTCACCCCCTTCCTCCCTTATGAGACCTGAAAATGAAAAGTTCTACACGTGAGTACAGTATTTTTTCAGAATCTTTTATCTGTGTTAGAGCATAACCAATCTGCTCCCTGAATAGTCTGATATATAATCCGTGAAGGAAGAAACATATTTATAGCATGACTCATCAATGCACTTTAAAATGTATACTTTAAAAATACACTTTTTTCTTCTGACTCAATTAAAAAAAAAAAAAAAAAAAAACAACAAACAACTTATGTAGGATACTACTTATGTGCTGGTGACTTCAAAAAGGAATTTCCCTTAAGACAGCTACGTATGAAAAGCAATACCTTTTTTTGAAATGTAAATAGGATTAATGGGAAAAATATAGAACAGAGCCTCAAGCAATGCAAGAAATCCAGTTAGTGAGGTTGATTCTGTATAATAATATAGATTATTATACAGGAAGTATGAGATAAATTGATAGTATTTCTGAGCAGTTTATGATGAATCTACTTGTCTGATGTCCATTTCTGTGAATAAAATATAAAAAACAAAATCAAAAGCAAAAATAACTAAAAAAAGGAAATATGATATAATTTGTTTTACAATTGAAGTTTTATTTTGATTTTGGTATGTTTATGGTTTTTTTGGGCACAGTTCAACTACATACAATTTCACATAAGGATAATAGTAACTCCTGTGAACTAGATCATAGAATTTCAGTTTTTACTATCTAGAAATTTCTCAGATGACAAATGACACAGTCAGTTTGCATAGACTTGTTTATACCAATGAGCATTCGGTGTTTAAGTGCTGTCAGTCTTTTTTAAATTTTTTACTGGTCTTCCTAGGACAATTTAGGTAAGATAATCGTTAAAATTGTTAAAGTACATGACTCTTTTTTTTTTTTCCCCGTGAAGTGTTGATAAATGTCTTACTAGCTTATCTTGGCAAGGAGAAAGAAAGGCAAGAGGAGGTAATTTTTGTAAGTAGTTATAGTTTCCAGCAGTAGCTATCTCGACAGAAAATCTTTTGCTTCTTCCAATACCATGTTACAGAAGTTTCCTGCTGTAATATAGCTAAGAACATTATTATAAATGGACAGCAATGAATACTTATGTCTTGTGATATGCATTTTTTGTCCCTGAAAAATACTTCAACCAAAATCTTAATTTAGCAAATAGTTTATTCAAGGTAAAAAGCAAGCACTGCCATTTTTACAGTAAAATATGATAGGGCACTGGCAGTGCTTGGTTTTTGCCTTCAAATTCTGTGCTTTAAAAGTGGCTTGCTGTAATTTTAAATAAAAGAAGGAAGACAGGAAAGACCCAGCATCATTCTGCCATCAGTTACAAGTTACAACATCAGTTACAGTTACAACATCAGTTACAAGTTACTGCTGAGCAGTCTTGAGTCTCACAATAGTCTCAGATAATTGCAAATGTATTCTTCCTATTTTGTTTTTACACTGCAATGCAGCATTTTGTGGTGTTCAAGATGGCAAACTCCCAGACAATGAAGGAGAATTACATTTTCCTGGAAGTCTCAAACAGTTCTATCAAAACCACCAGTGAGTAGACAATACGGAAACCTTGCCCAGAAACTCTTCCTGGTACCTGTGTGGTTGTTTTATATTGTAGTTTTGACAACAGGAACAAATCTATCATTCCAGATTGTGTGTATGGACTCTACTTGTACCGGAAGGAAATTATATATTGCTTCATTTTTCCCACTTTGATATAGAGCCAGAAACATTTTGTGACTTTGATTCTTTATCAGTATATTCAAAAGACAACAGACTTCTTGGTGAGTTACTGTCCTCTTGTTCTTTGGAATAATCTGTTAGCATAACCTTTCGTTCTAAAGGTAACCGAACCTAGAGAGGACATTGCAGTTGATGATGTTTTGCTCATGTTTTCATAATAAACACATTGTGACATGTGATCTAAACTAAATGATGAGAGGTTATGAGGGGAAAAGAATGGAAGAATACCTGTTACGGAGCTGTGTCAGCATGTGAATTGATGGTGTCAAGGATTTTCAAATTTTAATATTTTAATTCTACTTTTAATATTTTTATTTTCTTTTATTTGGGCTAATGGATTAATAGTGAATAGAGGGGATTGGGTAGGCAATTTCCTTTTCATCTTTGTTTTTTTATAGCCAGGTACAAAAAATAGTACCTCAAAGTTTTCTCAAGTGACTAAATATTCTGAACTATGATTACTATGATTATTACTATGATTACTGAACTATGATTATATCTTGTTACAGGAAAATTCTGTGGAGGAGATCTTCCATTACCTATTTTGATTGGCTCCAATAGTATAAGGCTGAAATTTGTTTCTGACAGCAAGGATTATGGAACTGGTTTTTCCGTGATGTATAAAGCTCTTACACCAGATATACTTCCTAGTAAGTCTAAGTCTAGTAATATACCTGTCTGTGCTCTTGGGCGGTTGCCTGAAAAAATAAACTGGAGGAGAACACAGAAGAATTTAGCTTGCTGCTCTTTTTCTGTTTTCTTTCTCAATTGTGTGAAAGCACCATGAGAGGTTTTCTGGATTTTATTTTTATTTTTTTCCAAATGATTTAAGAGGTGCCTCCTTTTTTGTTTTTCTCTGGATTTCCAGATTCTGACTGTGAGTCCATAGCTGTCCTTTTTGAAGAAGGAGTGTTACAAAGTATGCACTATCCAGAACAGTACAGTAATCTGGCAGACTGTCAATGGATTATTTATGCACCAGAGGACCATGTAATCAAGGTATAATATGAGTGCTTCTTGTGTCTACAGAATGGAAGCGGATAACATTTAGTAGACACGAAAGCGTGCTGCTAAGGACAAACAAGATCTCGCAGCATAACCTTTAATAATGCCACTGGATACAGTTAAGAGAAATTGCTTTCCATCCCAAAAGCCAGATAGGTTTTGATTTCTCCTTTAGGTTAATAGTAAAATAGGATTTTCTGGTTTATCATGTGTCATCTTATTTTGACACATTTTTCTATGAAATTTAATATGACGTGTCACTTGTTAGAGGTCTGAATGCCACAGAAACCAGACCCTAAAATAATCTTTGAGACTATTAAAGATATTTTTGTAGATAATTGAATTTTAATTTGTGAATTTAACAATATTTTTTTTCTTTAATGTAAAGCTTACATACAAATCTTTTGAAGTAGAAGAGAGTGAAGATTGCTCTTACGATGCTGTGACTGTATATGAAGATGTGGGAAAAGAGGAGGAAATTGGTTTGACTTTCAATTTTCAACATATTTTGGGGATGAACTATCAGTCCTATGATTTTCAGTAGCTCTGTTTTACAGTGTAAAACCAAGTTCAACATTAGAATATCGGGTGATGTTGAAGGTACCAGTCTGAGTACCTTGAAAATACATGTATTGATTCTTCTGTTCCACTTGTTGAGGCAAAAAGACATCTAATAACTATTTGGTGTATTTAAGTTCTATATGGAATGAAATCTGAATTCATGTAAATGAAGAGAAGAATTTAGGACAATAATTTGTTTTTATAGTAATTATGTTGGTCAGATCAGGAACAGAAAGCAACCCATGGGTTTCAGAGTCCAGTTTTTCTTCACTCCAGATGTGCATTCATGTTATTCTTACCACCCTGATAGAGATTCCCCTGGCTTATATCAAAAGAAAGGAAGACCTGTGCCAATCGAATCTTTTCAACACTAATTAATGCTGTTGCTTAGATTAGCACTGGCAGATGTTAGTGCTGAAACAGCAGTAAGGAAACCAATTTAACAGTGTGTTCTATATGTAATGGCAACCTAAGAGCGTGAGTGCTGCAATATTATCTTGCAAAATGATACATGATTCTCCTTGCTCTTACGAGATAATTACTAAACAGACTGACAAGAATAATAGAATTGTCCTTCAGCCTCAGTCTGGTTATCTATTTCTCTCTTGTGTACAGTTCTTTTTTTTATTATTATTTTTTAACCTTCCTATGTGGCAGCTGGAATGCACAGACTGTTGAAAGAGATAAGGATGAAAAACTACCTTCTAATCTTCTGTGAACATCTGCTTTCTGATCTCTAGCTAAGTCTTGTGGATTTGACCTACCAGCACCTGTTTTAAGCTCCTCTGCTCTGATGTTTGTTGTCTTTCACTCTGATGAAACAAAGACCTTTGGAGGATTCAAAGCTACAATCTCTTTTGTTCGTGTAACAGGTAATAGAAGTAACTTGGGAGACTGCCTCACTGGGGCAGCACAAAGGGCTCTGCACTGAATCTGGATATTCAGAATGATTTTGTTCTAGGAGATTTTCACATAGTACATAGTTTCAGTGAAAAATAATATGAACCTATTGAGACATTGAACAAATGACTTACTGAGCAGGTAAAGAGAAACAATGGATCTCCCCCAAACCTCAGGGTTTTGTTTTGTGTAAAAGTATTTTGGTGCATTTTAAATGGTACTTTAGTACCATGTGAATATGTAATAACACAGGCCCCTGCTGTAGAAATCTATTCCTTCTACAAAAATGATAATAGGGAAATAAAAATAATTTTGAAATAAAAGTATCATTCAAGACAACCCACTAACACATTTGTTATTTTCATTTGCTAGATTTAGATACTCTGAATTCAACTAGTGAAGAAGTTTTTGAAGATATGGATACGACTGTAGAAGAAATACAGGTTACAACAGGTATGTCAACCTGAAGTATGTTTTCTTCATGGGAATGTGGAGTACCTCTAGGACTGAAATAGTGTTTTCTCCAAATATTTGATGGCTGCATTCTGAGTTGTCCTAAGATTTTTTCCTTAGGATGCGTTGAGGAAATAAAAAGATGAATAGTAACCTTTCTATGTTTTAGCTTTTGAATAATAGAAGACTTTTTTGCTTGTTTCCTTCATCTTCTTCAGTCACTTAGAGCAATACACTGTCATTTTTACAGCCTGTCAGTCAGTTTTACACCCTGCTTCTTGGAAAATAATTGCAAAGAGTATAGGGTCTTTTCTGTTTCAGATGATATTTGTGGAGTGCCTTCAAATCAGCCCAGGTTCATCTTCAGTAGGATAATTGGAGGTGAAGAAGCAGTACCATACTCATGGCCTTGGCAGGTCAGCATACAAATTTCAAATGAGCATATCTGTGGAGGAGCTGTCCTTGCCAAAGAATGGGTTGTCACAGCTGCTCATTGCTTTAATTCTAAGTAAGTACACTGGGATGAACCCTTTGCTGTGAATATCTGCAATTGCACAGTGCATCTCTGCAGTGTGGTGGTCCTGCCTAGGGAGGCTGGTATGGTTTTGGTTACTACCTACTTGCAACTCAGTCAGGACTCTTTCTCTACACACACATATTAGCCTTACAGTGGCTACTTAGGAAGCAGCCTCATTCTGTAGGATTGGTTTCCTTTCAGATCAGTCTACAGAGGAGATGACAAGACACTGTCATCTTGTCATCCATTGTTTATTCTCAGGCAGTTTTTCTCTGGGTCATTTGCAGAGCATGATTTCCTCTAGGTAGAATCAACCTATCAAAAAGTCTTAAAATTACTAAATTTATATAGACTTTAAGAGGACATAAAGGTAGGTTTTGTGCACAGAAGCCAAGAGGGCAGTCTGTGAGACTTTCAGACTCTTTTTAAAAACACTTTATAAAATGTGCTTTAATTATTCATCTCATAGACTGAACTACCAATTTCAAATGAATCACACTTAGATTTTTAAATTAAACTTCACATACTTCACATAAATTAAACTTCACATACATCTTGAGTCATTAAAAATGACACATCTTGAGTCATTAAAATATTTTATAAAAATCCTCCCTGATAATGAGATATTCTGGACCAATTTTTAAATAAAGTAGTAATTACTTGAAAATGAGAGGAAGTGTTCAAAAGCTAAGAATGACAAAGATGTTTAGATATGTACATGTATATTTTCTATTGAACTCTGAAATGGAAATGTTGTTTTGAATTTTTGACTTTGTCTTTTAAGTTTCTAAATATTAGTTTGCAAAATTTTATGTCTGGAGCATTGTTGTACTGTGTTGAAAGTACTGCTCTAAGAGCAACAATATGGAGGATTTTTCTGTCACACATTGCCATTGCATCAGAATTTGTGTACATGGCTTAATGTGATTTTATCAAGGAGTTATGACATGTTTTCAAGGAGCTGAAAGGATTTGGTTAAGATAACAGAGGATGAAATGAAATGCACCTGTTACATTTCTTCATATCATTTGATGAGTAGTTATGATGTATAGGTTACCCATTTTTTTTCATTAAGATAGGGACCAGCGCCATCCCTGGATGGTATTGACCATGCAGGCCTTGAGTCCTGCAGCAGACACTCTAAGTCTTTTATAAAGCTTATCTTTCTGTTAGTTCACTATGTGTTTGAGATATGCTATGGCTTCATCATGAGATTTCCATAGATTTGTATGGTAGTGTGGTCCTCAGGTGGTGTTGGTCCAGGAATATGTAGGGCTCTAGTATTTGTTTTGGGTGAGGGAGGTTATAAGATTCTCACGTTTTATGAATGTTGTTATAGCAGCCTGAGAATGTGCTTATATTGTATTTACATTTTTTTGGCAGGGAATTGTACAGAGACCTATGGATGGTGGTCACAGGACTTCATGATCTTACAGAGCAAGAATACAGACAGGTACTATAAGTTCTGCTTAATAACAGAAAGCATATTAATCTTACAAAATACATTTTAAATGTAAATGTATCTTTCAAGTTGTTCATGATGCAGCAATTTAACAGCCTGAATGCTGGTTTTAATCTGCATTTGTGCAACATTTTTTATTTGTCTGACAGAGAACTTGCATCAATATAGTGTCAATTAATCCATCAATTAATGGTGTCTTCACCATTAATGAAGTGTAAAGCTCAGTATCCTGGAAGATGTCTGAGGAGTATATTGTTTCTAAATTTTGGTAATAGTTGGCTTGGTAATAGTTCCCAGAAATAATGAGGACACAGCTTTGCTTTCCACTTTGCTCAGACTGGACAAATGTTTTTCCAAGACCCTTTTCCTACATTTGGTGGATGAAGTTTCTTGCACATTTCCTGATCCATGTCCAAGAAGCATAACCCTGACTTCTTAATAAAAGCAGCTGCTGAAGTTACCTGCTTTCTTATAAATATTTCTTCCTCCTCAGACATTGTGCAAATTTATAAGAGATTTTAAAAGAGCTTTAAAAGAAGATCTATAAAACCAAAGACTCAAATTCTCAAGTCACTCAGCAAATGTCAATGTCCTTGCTTTCCTAGAAAAGATCAGTGAAGCAGTATATTATACATCCAAGCTTTAACAAAACCACAATGGACTCAGATATTGCTTTACTGCAACTGGCCAAGCCCTTAGAATTCAACCACTATGTGCGGCCAGTGTGCCTCCCTGCGAAGGACGAAGTGATTCAGCCCTCAACAGTGTGCATCGTCACAGGATGGGGGACACATGAAGAAGGTATGTAGTCTTTGCCCTTTTGAGGGCTGATCAAACTGTGGCTGTCTCTTATGGTTCGTTCTGTGTTGTAATGTTAATTCTATCTATACTTAGTCTCCTGGAGAACTGATTTGCTAAGAAGTTTTCACTTGTGTAAGCTCAGCTAGACGTGCGTGGATCTGAGTAGGAGTAAAGCAATCAGATAATACAGATTTATGCTATTTGAAAAAGAGAAGAGTAAAGCTGCTTTCTGGAAGCCTTAAATAATCAGGCTGTCAAAAGCACTAGAGATATACTGTGGAGAGCAGTCCTGCTCTGGAGGAAGAAAAAACTGAAGGGACCCAGAGATATTTCTCCCTTTTTGTGATGTCAGGTGAGGCAGGTATTGTATCATTAATCAAAACCTCTGCTGGTTTCTAAAATGTTTTTTTTTGTTGTTTTTTTTTTTTTTTTTTTTTTAATTTTTTTTAAAGACAGAGAAAAGAGTAAAAAACTACGTCAGCTGGAAGTCCCTATCCTGGTGCTTGACAGATGTCAGACCTATTACATAAATCTGCCCAGTAAAGTGACTCAGAGGATGATCTGTGCTGGATTCCCTCTGGAAGAAGGCAAGGACTCATGCACAGTAAGTTGCACACATCACCTTTGCTTTCTAATACTTGGGGTATGTCCAGATGTGTTCTGAAAAGACGGGAATGTTGAAACCTCCCTAGGAGCTGTTCTCTTGCAAACAGGTTGTAGGTGATTTACAGTGGAACACACCTTAACAGTAGGATTTTAATTAGTCGTATTGTATAAAAAGGTACATCCCTTGATGAACGGTTATTTCTCTCACTGCCCTTAAAAACATGGGCACCCAAACACGTGAGCAACCTTGAGCCTATTGTGTAGCTGAAGTTATCTTTCAAAAACATAAGGAGTGCTTTTGGATTGTAACAGGATTCCTTTGTCCTTGAGCAGGGTGATTCTGGTGGTCCATTAGTTTGTCCTTCAGAAGATGACTCACGATTTTATACCCTTCATGGAATCACTAGTTGGGGCTCGGGCTGTGGAAGGAAGAGCTACCCAGGAGTATACACAAATATCGCGTTTTTTGTGGACTGGATCAAGCAGAGTGTTAATACTAGTGGTATGTATGCAAGCAAGCAAAAACTGATTAAATTAATCCTTTTGCTGTTGCTAGCGGCTCTCTTTGAGGCCTTTTCCAGGATGCCACTTTTATACTTGGGCGTCTAGCACTTTCTGAAATCTAGGCTGCTTAAAATACAACTAGCTGAGTGCCCAGAAGCTGGTGAATCTAAATCAATAGTCAGTTCTGAAAATCTTACTACTTCAGGATGTATTGTTATTCCTCTTCACCGCATTTCCCCTCCTGAAGAACAGTGCTTTTTATTGTTGCTGCTTTGCTGCCTCATTTCTAAGGGTTGGGGGAGGTAGGGAGGTGTGAAATGATGCTTGATGACAGGTGAGTCCACTTCGAGGAGTTGACTGACAGACTTTGGTGTTTGCAAAGTTTACCTGGTGTTTTTTTTTCCTTTCTTGTAGATCTTCCCATGTTCATGGTGTAGCTGTCAAAAGAGCAGTTCTGATGGACTACATTGTAAAACACTTCCAAAGTACAAATGTCATTGAAAGCAACATTTGGTGAAGCGTATTAGATTATGACTGGTGAACAGATTACAAAGTAGCTGATACTTAGCTTGATTCTTGTACTGCCTATTTATCCAAGAGAGACTTTGACCATACCTGTATGTTCTTGGGAAATACAAAGGTTACTCACATGCTTCTGGCACTGTCGGTCTGTATTAGAAGGAACGATAGGAAAAATGAGTCACCTTATACATGTACTGTATGTCAAGCATGTCCTTGAATGTAGCACTGGAGAGAACAAAAACTAAGATGAAATAAGCACTTGTGTAAAACAGCTTGAGGAATAGTCCGTTATCTTTCCATTAAGGTCAATGAGAGTGTTACCTCTGGCTCTGAAAGGACCTAGGCAGTGGCAGTAGTAGTGCATTTGTGAGGAGCAGAAGAACATTGTCTAGTGATTAGTCAATCAAATTGCTGTGAAAATTATATTTTAATATGACCAAGCGATGGTCCCTATAGGCCTGATCTGACCAATTTGATTGTTAAAATACTCTTTTCAGCTGAAAAACCTGGCCAGTCATACCAGTAATAAAGGTACCCGCTGCAGCAAGGAAGTTGAATTGCAGTGTAAAATACATTTTTTTTTCCCTCTGGTTCTTTCCTATTATTTTTAATTTTTAAAAGCAATGTTTTGTTTAAAGAAGTCATGCAGTTTTGAGGAGTTAGAATGTGCTTACACCATCAATCCCCCATTGTTGTAACAATTTTTCTACATGTAACTGCATCAAAAGAACTTCAGTGCTTGTAGAAAGTCACTACCAAATGAGGAGAAGGCATAACTATCTCCAAAACTATTCAGGCTTTTAAGATGTAAGGTAGGATCGGCAATGAGCCAGGATGACTTGCATGACCACTACCTTCTGGTCTGCCTTCACAGTGGAATTGTCCATTAGTGTGAAGCCCTATGTATTAGCTCATGTATTCTGCAAGATTTTCATGGCTTGTTAAGATTAAAATTCCTCTGAAAGACATTTTCTTGACATTACATAAGTTGTTGTGGATGTATGGAATTCTACAAAGTCAGGGCTGTGCTAGTTGGAAATGCTGATCTCAGCTATCCACAACTTTTCAATAATCTCTACAACCTGGGATGATGGAGGTATGCTTAATCAAATGTTTCCCTTGCATCAGCCATGCACCCACTTTAATTCCATGGTTGCAATATTTTTTTATTGATTGAGAGAAAAGAGAATCTGGGTCATTAGCTTAAGTTTTCACTATACTTTTGTGAAGTCTGTATTTAACTGAACTGTTTGACATCAGCTATGTAAAGTATATTACTTAAGGTCGGTTCATCTTGGTTAGCAATGCAAGTATAGACTGAGGTCTAAATGAAGTCTTGATGACTTGTCCAATATTTGTAGTGTGGTGTTGCTATGCCTGTGGGGAATCTGAAAATGGCTGAGATTCCAATTACTTGTATTCAGGACTTCAGTAATGGTCATCAAAGTTAACAGATGTGCTCACAAAGCATTAGGTATTGGATTGTCTTTGGAATCAAACCACTTGCTGGTTGCAAACTGTTGCAATTTTCTGGATTGAAGGAAAGTTGATGTTTTGATTAAAAAGTAACATCAGTTTTTCAAGCTGCTGGACATTTCATATATTCATTAAGTTTTGAAAACAACAACTAGTATTTGCTATTTTAACAAATTGTTTGTTGTTCAAATAGAAATATTTGAAAACTCTGGTGTTCTAGGCCAACCACCTTTGGCACCATGCAATAACTGGCAAATTAATCTATTAATTAATATATCCATATAGCCCAATTAATCTATCCATATAATCAAAGAGGTACTGTGTAATCCACATGCTTCTAAGTGAGCACGTCTGCTTGTAAACAGCAATTTGTTTAATGCCTCAATGGCTGCTTGCACAAAAAGATGTGATGACAAGCTCCAATTAGATTTGCAAATTGTGGTGTGTGAGGGGTTGCATAGAGGCTCCCAAAGGGGGTTCAGGTCCACCCAAAGGCTTCCATTGGGAGCACTTTTTGATGGGAGAAACTGACGACATACATGTTTTTTAGGGTCATATTTAGTGTTAGGGTTACATTTAGAGTTGTTTGGAAAGAGAGAAAATGCAGAGTGCTGTTGTGTGTCAGGTTGCATAAAGGCTACCAGAGGTAGTTCAGGTCCACTCAAAGGTTTCCACTGGGAGCACTTTTTGATGGGAGAAACCCCTGACGCATGGTTTTTTTTTTTTTTTAGGATCCTAATTACAGCTAGGCTTAGTATTTCATTTAGGGTTACATTTAGTTTTGTTTGGAAAGAGAGAAAGCAAAGAGTCCTGTTATGTGTTGTGTTGGAGCGTGGCCATGGGGGTCGACAAGCCCCATGGTTGGCGATAACATTGGACTCAATCATGAGGCCAGGAGGAATGTAAAGTGTTTAGAAGGAACAAAGAAGGACTATTCAGGAGACGCTTTGCCATCTGGGACTGCTTTTTCTTCAGTTGTTAAGACACGTAAGTTTCTGGGTGTTAGTGGTTGGTGGGCAAAGTTGTTTTACCAATTAATATTTAGTGGAAAAGTAATGCTGTAGAGCGAATGCTATAAGAAGGGAGGCTGTCCTCAATAAGAGATAGTTAAAGTTATGTCCTCAGTGAGAGAGTCCTGTCATCTGGAATGAGCCTGAGAAAGTGCATTTTGATAGGGGACTGCCCTGCACTCAGATTTTGTCCTTCCTTCTTGCCTTCCCCTCCTCACCTTCGCCTTTTCCAGCTGTGAGCATTTCTGTGCTCTCAAGACCTTTTCCAGGCACTGCTGTAGACCTGCAGTTTGCTGACCACAGCAAGGTAATGCTAAATAAAGGTAATGCTAAGGGTTAGGGTAAGGGTAAGGCAAAGGGTAAGGGTAAAGATATTCATAAGGGTAAGGATAAAGGTATGGGTAAGGGTAAAGCTAAGGATAACTGTAAGGCTTAGGGTATGGTTTAGTGTAACTGTTATGGTTAGGGTAAGGGTAAAGGTAAGGTTATGGATTAGAATAAGTGTATGGTTATGGGTAAGGATTAAGGTAAGTGTTACGGTAAGAGTAAGGATAAGGGTTAGGGTAAGGGTAGGTGTAATGTTTACAGTAAGGGTCAGGTTAAGGGTAAGGTGAGGATAAGGGTAAGGTTTAGGGTAAGGGTAAGAATAAAGGTTTGGGTAAGGGTAAAGGAAAAGGTAAGGGTAAGATTAACTTTTATTGTTTAGGGTTAAGGGTAAGAATAAAGGTAAGAGTATGGGTTAGCATAAGTGTATGGTTTAGGGTAAGGGTAAATGTAAGGGTTAGAGTAAGGGTAAGGATAAGGGTAAGAAGGGTTAGGGTAAGGGTTACGGTAGGGGTTTGCTTAAGCGTTAGGGTAAGGTTAAGGGTTAGGGTAAGGGTAATGGTAAGTGTATGGATAAGTGTAATGGTAAGGGTAAGGACCCTTATGGTAATGGTAAGGACCCTAACTGTAATGGTAAGGACCCTTACCATTACACTTATCCATACACTTACCATTACCCTTAGGTGAAGGGTAAGATTAAGAGTAAGGGTAAGAGTAAGGATAAGAATAAGGGGAAGGGGAAGGATACGGGTAAGGTTAAGAGTTAGGGTAAGGGTAATGTTAAGGGTTAGGGTAAGGGATAGAGAAGGGATAGGGTAAGGGTAAGGTTAGGGCAAGGCTTAGGGTAAGGGTAAGTGTAAGGGTATGGGTAAGGTTATTGGTAATGGTAAGTGTAAGGGTAAGTGTAACGGTAAGGGAAAGGGTTAGCGTAAGGCTTAGGGTAAGGGTATTGTTTAGGGTAAGGATAAGGGTAAGCTTTAGGTTTAGGGTAAGGGTAAAGGTAAGGGTATGGGTTTGCATAAGTGTATGGTTACGGGTAAGGGTAAAGGTAAGGGTTAGGTTAAGGGATAGGGTAAGGTTAAGGGTAATGGTAAGGGTAAGAGTTAGGGTTATGGCAATGATTAGGGTAAGGATAAGAGTAAGTGTTAGGGCAATTGTTAGGGTAACGGTAAGTGTTACGTATGGGTTAGGGTAAGGGTAAGAAGGGATAGGGTAAGGGTTAGGGTAAGGATTAGGTTAAGCATTAGGGTAAGGGTAAGTGTTAGGGTAAATGATAGGGTAAGGGTAAGTTTTAGAGTATGGGTAGCGTAAGGGTTAGGATAAGGGTAAGTGTACGTGTTAGGGTAAGGGTAATAGTAAGGTTTAGGTTAATGGTAAGGGTAAGGATAAGGTTAAGGGTAAGGGTACAGGTTAGGGTAAGGGTAAGAGGGTATGGGTAAGTTCAGGGTAAGGGTAAATGTAGAGGTTAGGGTAAGGATAAGTGTTAGGGTAAGGGATAAGGTAAGGGTAAGGGTAATGGTTAGGGTTAGGGTAAGGATAAGGGTAAGGGTAAATGTTAGGGTAAGGGTTTGGGTTATTGTAAGTGTTTGGGTTAGAGTAAAGGTTAGGGTAAGTGTAAGCGTAAGGGTTAGGGTAAGTTTAAGGGTAAGGGTAAGGATATCGTTAGGGTTTGGGTAAGTGTTAGGGTAATGGTAAGTGTAACGTTTAGGGTAAGAGTAAGAGCAAGGGTTAGGGTAAGGGTACAAGTGTTAGGGTTACAGGTTATTTTAAGGGTAACGGTAAGAGTAAGGGTTAGGTTAAGGGTAAGGGTTAGGGTAAGTGTAAGGGTTATGGTTAGTGTAAGGGTAAGAGTTAGGTTTAGTGTAAGAGTAAGGGTAAGGATAAGTGTAAATGTAAGGGTTAGGGTAAGGGATAGGGTAAGGGTAAGAGTAAGTGTTAAGGTAGGCGTTAAGGGTAAGTGTAACGTTAAGGGTAAGTTTAAAGGAAAGGGGAAGGGTAAGGATTTGGGTAATGTTAAGGATAAGAAGGGTTAGAGTAAGTGTTACGGTAAGGGTTAGGTAACGCAGTGTACAACCTGGGACGTCACACCCAGAGCTGCCTCTGGCAAGGTAAGTGAGGAACAGATGTAGCAGTTGTTGTGTTGTAGGTCTCACTGTTACTCTAAGCATCCCCTCTTTGTCTTTTAGAGGTGGTGTAGCTGTTTGAAGAGGGTAGATTGAAGCATACGCCTTGGGGGCTGGTAAGCAGGCAGAGGTAAGGGAGCAGATGAGAGTAACTTACCTAGTTGTGCTGTGTGTTTGGATGCTGCCTCGGCCTATGCTTTTCTTTTTCTTTTACAGGTGTCTCGCACAGGCTCAAAGGAGCAAACTGTACTCTGAAGAGCTGTGTAAGAAGAGGGGCTGGTCATGAGCTGGGTTGGAGCAGAACGGCCAAGTAGCACAAGGTGACTATGAAAGGTGTCAGTCTTGCTTTGCGGGTGCCGTGGCAGGCTCTCCACAGAAGCGACTGAGGATATGAGATAAAGTCAGAGTGCGACAAGGAGCGGCACGTGCAGGGATGGTTGCCAGGCGCTGCGGTGGCTTTCTCTTCTGTTCATCAGGTGCCACAGGCAAGGTGGGTTGTAACATCAGTCTTTATATTCACATGAAAGCAGTTCACTTGAATGCCACAGTGCATCTGAGAAGGGTGTTCTAGCAGAAAAAGCTTGTCTGGCACGGTGGTTCCTGATGGCAGCGTGTTTCCTCAGGTGAAGAGGTTCCTGGAGCCCCATCTCACGTAGTCTGCGTGTGCCTTGAGGAGGAATTCTGCTTTCCAGCCGTCCCTAAAGCTAAGTTTGGCTTGAAATGCCCTGTCTGTGTGTTGGGTGGGGTTGTACCTTGGCATGTGCGTGGTATGTGCATGGGGATGGCTTTTAAGTCAGTGCAGCAGGGGAAAGGGATCCAGTAACAACTGGGTAAAGAGGCTATGGATTCATCCTTTTCAGCCCAGCGTGTGGCAGTCAGGGCAGTTCCGGTATGTGTTCTATGGTGTATGGTTGTTTCTGTGTACTATAGTATCCATTACCAGGTCTTGTTCCCATAGTTGTTGGCTTCTGCAGTGCTTGCTGAGCGGGACTTGGAAAGGCTGATCTCTCTCAAGAGCTTGATGTTGTCTGCTTTTCTTGATGGTAGCCATCATGGCCTGCAGTCTCTTGCTTGTGTGTGTTCGTGCTCATGTACGGTTTGGGAGCCTGGCTCCATGTGGTTTTGGGTCCCGGTTCTGTACTTTTTGACTACTGTTTCTGGTCTGGGGGGAGGGATGGCTCCCTGCATTGCTCTGGCTGGCCCGCCCTGCGCCGCCCCCCTCCCGCTGCCGCCGCCGCGTGGTGCCGGTCCCCCCGCCCCCGCCACCCACTTCCCCCGCCGCCGCCGCGTGGTGCCGGTCCGCCCTGGCCCGGCCGCATTGAAGCTGTGAGGAGCTGAAGAAGACCTAGTGAAAGAGAGGTATTGCAGCAGGTAGGCTGTGCCTGTGAGGTGCCTGAGGATCTGCCTTTTTTTTTTTTTTTTCTTTTGTGGCTGCTTCTTGCAGTCTCGGAGAGGTGAATCCTCTCCAGAGTGCTGAGGAAACGCGGGAGGGTCGTCAGCCTAGTCAGTGTCCCTAAGTAAGGGTCCCCCTAAGGCAAGGCTCTGAAGTGTTTCCCCTCTGTTTTAGTGGTGCTGTGG